TTTCTCTGCATACATTCACTTACTCATTACACTGTTGTCCCATCACGTTGTGAACGTCTTATATCTACAAGCCTAACACATATCTAGTAAATGCTAGGTCATTCTTGAAAGAACAGGATATTTCTAGAAAGAGGTGGCGTGATACTAGTCACGTGACCTCGCTGACGCAACAGTATCATCAAATACAATTTTGTGGTTTCTCAAGGAATAAATGATTTTAATTTTATTGTGCAATTTTTGATATAAAGTCTCTTTATAGTAACATACCGTTAGATGAGACCATAAAATTATGTACTGAGTTTCTATATCAGAATGATAGTGATGAAATGAATTTTCCTAAGTATGTGTTTCAGAAATTCACGAATTTTGCAACCAAAAAAATAACATTTTCTTTTTGACAATGATATTTATGACCAAACTGATGTTCTTCTTATGGCATCTAAACTTACTCCATTGCTCGTTAATATGTTCCTATGTCACCACAGAAAATGTCAATTTAAACCAATATTTTGCAGAAGATATACAGATGATAACTTTATCTTAAGAGAACCCGAACATTTTAAGAGCTTTTTCTTTTTCAAAACTATCTTAACAGTAAACTTTCCAATACCAAATCCCCTGTGGAACATTAACGTAACCACCAACGTCCAATGTTAAACGTCCTACGGTAGGTTAGTGGTAAGTTTACGAACTTAGAAATCTAAAATCCAGGGTTCGATTCTTGGCTGTAGACAGAGCTAAGATAACCCATTGAGTAGCTTTTCTCTAAAACAACAAACAGTCATTCTTAAATCTCTTTATTGATAATAAGAAAGGTAAATTGGGATGTGAAATTTTCAATAAGAAGACTTTAACCGGTTTGTATTTGAGCTTTGATAACTACATACCATTGTCTTGTAAGAAAAATCTACTTTAAAATACTAGCTCATCGGATATATAAGCTAATCAAAGAGACAGATAGATAACATTGAAAAAAATTATGCTATAAAATGCCTTTCTAATAGGCATTATAAATCACGAATTCAAAAATATTTAAATAACAAGTTTTTCCACGCTACCTTGTTGGAATTTTGCCAAACAAAGAAATTACTTACTCCCACCATATCCAGGGAAACGGGCTACTTTTATTAGGAACCTGTTGTGTGAGTTATGTCGTCGTGCATACCCTAAAGTGAAATGGAGATGTCATTAAGTCTGTATGCAGATTACAGAATTTGTGCGAGCATAAGGATCGTATATTTACCTTCAAAATTTAACTGTGATATGCCAATGTAAATATTCTAAATGTTTTTGTTTTTTTTTATTATATTGGTTTCACCACTAGGTGGTTAACAATTCGTATACAACAATGTGACAACGTTAAGATCCACATCATTTTCAAGGATTAACAAACATGCGCTGAATGAATGTAATGAACCTATAAGTAAACAACAATTTAAAATTCTAAAACCAACAATGAACAATAACTGCTAATGAAGAAAAGTTTATTGACTAATAACCTCAAACCAAAGTTGAATGAGTAAAACGGTGCGATTTGTTTATCGTTGTGTCTGTTACAACTAATGAAGGAAAGTTTATTGACTAATAACCTCAAACCAAAGTTGAATGAGTAAAACGGTGCGATTTGTTTATCGTTGTGTCTGTTACAAACATTTAATGCCTCCCAGTGGCACAGCGGCATGTCTTACAACGCTAGAAACCGGGTTTCGATACCCGTGGTGGGCAGAGCACATATAGCCCATTGTGCTTAATTACAAACAAACAAACCATTCGTCATATGACTACTTAGTTCACATATTGAATTTAAAAAAGGTCACGCCGTCTGCATACTTTCTGACCTTCCACCCCTTCATTCTTAGTTAAGGTATGATAATTATTTTTAATATGTCTCATTATTTCTATAGTTTATCTAATATTTGTAATCGTCATATCATTCGGTTGAGCGAAGATAAGTTTCTTTCCCATTAACTGACATGACCAACATGACTTGCATGTTCAGCTAGAATATCACTTTTGTTTTAACGTTTCACTTATGTTTATTTATTCAAAACTATACATTCCATCTAGTTTGACTAACGACTAACTAATTGACATGACCAATATGACTTGCATGTTCAGCTAGAATATCACTTTTGTTTTAACGTTTCACTTATGTTTATTTATTCAAAACTATACATTCCATCTAGTTTAACTAACGACTAACATATGCACAACCACATTCACATTCAATTAAATAAATACCTATTTTCTCCATTAGATTAAGTACTTTAGTTTTATCTAATATTTGACTAATTTTATTCAATGGTCTATAAATTTGAATACGATTTTTTAGTTTTGTAAGTTTTTACAAACTTGGAATACAAGGTAAAAAATAACATTTTCCTTTTATCAAATGTTGATTTTATTATCATTTTTAATTTTATTATATTTTCTCACAACTCTATCAATGATATTAGGCGAGAAACCACTATCAAATGCTACATATTTAAGAAATAACAGTTAATTTTTTTTTAATCTTGTGTTTTAGAACATAGCTTTAAAATCCTGTAAACATAAGAATAAAAAGCTTGATTCTTGGTGTGGCGGCATGACAACAGAAAAAGGTTTATGATAAACAGTGGTTTCTAAATTATTTTTGTTTTTCTAAACTAAAACGTCAAAAAACGGTAAACTGTTATTTTAAGGGTTTTAGACTATTCACGTAATTAGTAAAATCTATTAAGTTTTCTTTACTATGCTGCCACACCACGAAAGTGTCATCGACATACCCAAACTATTTTTCTGGTTTAAGTTTAGCGTTCGGTAAATCATTAGTTTCAAAGCTGTTTCTGAAAAGATCACACAGCAAGGGAGGTAATGGAGAACCACAGCTAAGTCTTCAATCAAAAATTAAAATTCGCTAAAATAGATGAAAAGTCAAATGTTATTTTTACCTTACGTCTCAGACTTTTCATGTCAATTTATAGACCATTAAATAAAAGTAGTCAAATATTAAATACAACTAGAGATGCACCTAATGTAATGGAGAAAACGGATATTTATAAAATTGAATGTGTTTGTGTATACATTATTCAAACTAGAAGAAATTAAAAATTTAGAATAAACGAATATAAGAAAAATGTTCGAAACAACAGCGATAATTCTACACTTTCTGAACATGCAAGTCATACTGATCAGGTCATCCAGTGGTCAAAAATGTTATTCTAATATGACGGTTGGAAAGATTAGAGAAACTATAGAAATAACAAAACATATTAAAATCATGATCATATCTTAAATAAGGATGAAGGGGTTGGAAGTTAGAAAATATGAAAATGACGTGACCTTCTTTAGATTTAGTATGTAAATTAAGGAGTCATATGACCAATGACCTTCTATGTATATATATATATGACTTGCACAGATTCTGTCTTCACACTTTTGAAGATGACGTGATTCGACGTCGAAACATGTAGTGTCTGTTTTAAGGTCGTTGATCGGCTTTAGAGCAAAAGCTTTTAATTGCGTACTGCAAAAAGTTGATCTTTAGAGTATTTTAATTAAGTGTTTGATATGTTTGTGTTTCGTGTTAAAAACAACTGTAAAAATTCATTAGAAATAATAATTAGCTTATAAGATTCAAGTGGAGATAATCACTTGCCATTTTAATGTTATGACTACATAGCTTTTTAAAATTGGTCATAAAACAGAGAAGAATTTGACCTTGGTCCAGCTTATCCAATGGTACGACTACATAGCTTTTTAAAATTGGTCATAAAACAGAGAAGAATTTGACTTTGTCCAGCTTATCCACTTGACTTCGATATCTTTTTCTAAAAGAACGCATGGAATGCGTACTTTATGAGTAAGTGCTGACATCGCATAAATTTTAAATTTGACTGTTTCCCAAGAAGCTACGTGTGTAGAAATTACGTTTAATATGTGAAATACCTCTTTAACAGCTTACATGGTTGATGGCGTATTCCTTTTTTTTTTATCTTTTAGGGAGGTTTTTCGGCATTACATCTTGCTTGTCAAACTGGCCATAATCAAAGCTCCAGGGTGTTGCTATTAGCTGGTTGTAAACCAGACATTAAAAACAACGTAAGTAAACTGAAACATTGTGTGTTTTATCACCAGATACTATATACTAATTTATGTCGTTAAGCTTATTTTCTATCCATGCATTGTATAGGATGTATTTATAGCCATTTTACAGAACAGTACTACAGTCATTGCTGACTGTGAACTGAAGAAATATGTACTCATGTTTGGATAATTCTAAAGTAAAATGTTAAAAAAACTGGAAATTTCGCCAACTGTCATACTGTTTAACACTCTTCTGAGAATGTTACGATATTTTATTTTTTCTGCAGGTGATATTACAACGCCACCAGAAAGACAACACATGTCCGAGAAAGTAACATAAATAGAAACCAATTTCAAACCTCCAAGGACTATGTTTTATGTTGCTCAAGAATTTTGCTTACCTCTGAGAGAACTATGTGTTTCTAAATATGTTTCCGCACAAACGTGGGATTATACTTACGTCTCGTATCTATTATTGGTAAATAAAAAAAGCTATGCAGGGCAGGCTACTAAACTTGGAACCAAGCAAGATAAGGATGGAAGTGTACATATCATTTTGTCCATCGAAAGTTTGGTGTTTGAATAGAATCTCAGCTTTCATCATTAACCTTTCCTTTAGTTAACTTTTGAATACTACTTTTATGACTATTTTTAAATAGAGTGACATTTTACGATTGGAAATACTGGTTCTATTTGTTTTGCCAGTGAGGAAGCCAGTAATATAGGGATGTTATTCTCTATGTAAAGTCGACACGGCTTAGTCTTCTATGTGATTGTTAGCCATCAAGTGATATGTCCATTTCCATCTTTATTTTGTTTGGTTCCTCTTTTCAAGTTCAGTAGCCAGCTTTACATAGCTTTTTTTTATTTAGAGTTGAATTATTTCCCTAATACTTGTTTGTTTACTTTTTTTTTATAAGATGACGTATGTGGGTTACTATGTTATGGAGTGTATTCTAAAGCTTTATAAATTTTGCATAGAATAATATTAACATAGGTAGTCAAAGATCATGAAGACTGTTTTGCTCTATCAAATGATGACAAAATTACAGTTACTGGTAAAACTAGGTAGGCGCTAGGCCTGTTGAAGAAAAATGATGAACGAAAATAAGAAATCTCGGTTTGGGCTATTCTCCGGTTTTCGACGTTGGGACGCTCTGGATAGCTGAAAAGCGGCATATATACCAGAGATATAGAGACTATGCCAGGTAGCTCTTCATATATATCTTCTGATGACCTGTAGAGAAGAAAATCCAGTTAACTCTTGTATTACTTTAATACATGTGTCCGTGCCATCTCAACATAGGGAGTGCTAGCGCACTTTCCGATAAATCAAGTGTGTAATCAATTTTGATGACGAGGTACCCACAGAAGTGTCATCTGTGTATGGGCTTTTCACGTCTGCACTTTCTTTTGGCCGATCTCAGTCAAATTTTTCCAAGTATTAAGGCCCCCTGAGGAGTGACATAGGGAGGTCAGCATTCGGTTCTGTATTCCCCTTACTATTCAAAGGTACCCTTAGGGCAAGACGGTGAGTTGCATAGGAAAGTTGACGGTTGGATATGATTCCCTACCCCATGTCCTCCCCTGGAGGCCCCTACTATTCTGTTGGTCTCTATTAATCAAACTTTAAAGACACCTATAGATCCAAACGCTGATCCCTTAAATCACTCCTAGGTGACCCGTATGTCTTTCCCGTATAGTATAGTATATTCATATTTTGCCGTTCTCTCTCTAAACTAAAATTCGGGGCCCAGTCTCTTTAGTGAACACATGTTATGCCTGTTATGCAGCTTTACGCAAACAAATAAATCATCAGTGTGAATATTTTACAGTTGTGTATAGTATATTGATTTTTTTTTTCTTTTTGTCAAACTGGAAATTTTGGACACTTGCACATTACCAGAAAATTCTGACCTGATAATAAAATTATCTGGAGAAAAAAAGTCAGAGTTACATCTATAATTAATTAAAGAAACATTAAATCCTCAAGTAAGCCCATGCAAACTTTCCAAAAATAAAAATAAAACGATTTGTGCAAAGTAGTTTTTATTTTGTATTTCGTTGTTAGTCATAAATTACTAGCTTTTTTATTTTCTGCCATAATGTTGGTTGTTTCATTTATGTATTAAAAACAAATTCTGGTTTAGAAAGAAAACCTGAAATATTATTATTTTAATAATTAAAGGTATTGTTGTGATGTAAGTTATGTGACTGGCTGTTCTTATTGGTGGTGCACAAATTTAAGGAAAAGAACATGAATTATATATATATATACACACACTGGTCATTTGTTATCTTTACCTTCTTACTTATCTGCTAAAAATGTCTGTGTGGTAGAAGATGAGAGACTATACTTTTATTTGAGAGTGTATTATATTTATTTATTACTCGATTAACTCGTAACAAACTAGTACAAAAGAAAACTCTTCCAAGGTAATCGTCAATTAGTTTTGTCAATACAATTTTAATTAATTTAATGATTGAGAAGCTTTTTAGTAATAGCCTTTGCTTTTCATCACGTCAACAATGATTGATATTAGAATTCAAACGTTCAAGGGCGTGACTTGGTGATGCGAATTATAATTAATCAATTAGCAAAGAAATATTTCATCCAGTAATCTGTTTATACGAAAAAGGTTAAGTATACATGATCAGAAGTTTGGGTTTCTAAAACACACTCATATATATATATATATATATTAGTAACTTAAGCGCTGTAAACGTAACTTTTGACTTACAGATTTTTTCTTTCTATTTTGTGCATTTAGTATGGAGATACTCCTTTGCACACAGCAGCGCGGTATGGACATGCGGGTGTTTTGAGAATCTTAATCAGTGCTTATTGTCACGTTAGTGAAGTAAATAAGGTAAGAAACTACTTTCGTCTTCCAAAAGATTAAACTGCACGAAATGATTCTTTTTTTTTGCTCGTTTTGATTGGTAAATTTTGTTTCAGTCCAAACTATAAAAAACAAAATACAGGGTTAGAATATAATTTATTGACAGATTTGTTTTTGTTTTTTCCGTTACTTAATTTTTTATAACACAAACAACCTGTCTTGCAGTTTTACGCTTAGTAACCAATAAACCAATATGTAAATAACGACCAAAGTTTATGTGTTTTGAATACGCTGTATATACGTCATACAATAGAACATCCTCAAATTCAGATACTCATTACGTTCAGTACAAGTTAATGTCTTGCAAGATGTTATTTAATACATTTCTTGTAAGTTGTAAAGTGGTATAATTTAATTTTGTGATTGATGGTGATTCGATCAATGACGCATTGGTGTTTGTATTCTTCTGTCACCTTTTTGTGATTGATGGTAATTAGATCAATAACGCATTGATGTTTGTATTCTTCTGTCACCTTTTTGTGATTGATGGTGATTCGATCAATGACGCATTGATGTTTGTATTCTTGTGTCTCCTTTATGTGATTGATGGTGACTCGATCAATGACGCCTTGGTGTTTGTATTCTTCTGTCACCTTTTTGTGATTGATGGTGATTCGATCAATGACGCATTGATGTTTGTATTCTTCTGTCACCTTTTTGTGATTGATGGTGATTCGATCAATGACGCATTGGTGTTTGTATTCTTCTGTCACCTGATTTTTTGCACGATAGAAGAGAAATTACAAAAGACCCGTAAAACCCATAGTAGTTATTCTAAGTTAATTAAAGTCAACCAGAGTATATTGGTAGTGAATTAAAGAGATAACTGCTTTTCTTACCAATAATACAACTCATATATAACATGTAAACATAAACTTACTATGTAAATAGAAATGTGACTGGTATTGTGATGAACTTGAGGATAGTGGGGAAAAGCCAAATATAACATGTAAAAAAATGACATTTTACATTTTTACCATACTTTATTTAAATATGACCCAAGTATAAAAAACGTTACAGTTTTAAAGATTATTATACTGTTACGTCTGTGTTCATTTGTTAATTTTTCGTAGAAATTCTTTCCGAGAAACTTCAGCGATACAAGTCTTTTCTTAAATAAAACTAGTTTATTCTTTCTCAGTTCAACTTTGCAATACACTTAATGTCCACAGTCACTTTAACTTCAACACACGCTATAATTCACAATGAACGATTCACGCACTTTACTTACTACCGCGATTGACTCAATTGTCCGTCTCTATCTCTGCCTGTCTGCAATTATCTATCTCTATGCCGTCACTTCTCGCCGGTCTTATATATACAAAATAGAGGGCGTCTAGCAAACACTCGAGCCTTCAGGAACGTTCGAGATACTCATTACGTGTTACCAGAGTCACGTGACTTCCGCTGTCTTAACAATACTTTAAACTGTAAAGTTGTTTCATTATTTCCTAATCTGTTTATTTGATTAAACGTGGTCTATGTTTTTCAATACATTGTTATGTTCTAAAATATTTATTTATATAGAAGTTCTGTTGTTGTTGTTTCGTTCAAAAATGATAATATAATTACGTTGTTTCTACAGAACGGTGACACTGCTTTACACATAGCTACAGCTATGGGACGAAGGAAGCTGACGAGGATATTGTTAGAGGCTGGTTGTGACCAATCTTTTCAGAATAAGGTTAGAAATATGTAATTGTTTAAAGTGAAACCGAAATCAGAAGGAACAAGAAAATTAGAAATGTGATCTAAATTTTCATCTTGACTTTTAATAACTGGCAAGTAAAACGCTGGGAAACACGTAAAATTGGATAGGCTAATATTTTGATACTATATTAAAATTAGAAAGTTAGCTATTAATATAAAAAAAACGAGTTTATTGTTTTTTTTGTGTTTTGCATTCATTGATTAATCAATTGTTTTAGTTTATTGTCCGCCAGTAATCTTGACCTTTTGGTTTTAATTACTGTGAACTAACCGTAGACTTCGTGATACGATGGCCAGGTGGTTAGGGCGCTCGACGCGCAAAGTGATGGTCACGAGTTCGAATCCCCTTCACACCAAACATATGCTCGCCCGTTATAATGTGACGGTTAATCCCACTATTCGTTGGTAAAAGAGTAACCCAAGGCTTACACTTCTAAATTAAGGACGGCTAACGCAGATAGCTCTCGTGTAGCTTTGCGCGAAATTTAAACAAATCGTGATAGAATGAATATATATATATTTAACTTATCTTTTCAAATTTCAAATTTTTTGAGTTCAAGAACATATATAACAATAATTTTATCTTATGCTCAGATGAAGAAAATATCATATAATAAAGGGGAACTTGGGCGAAATTACTGTATGTGTTACAAGCAATTTTACATTTAAAATGTGATTAAAGTCTGATTGCTACATGCTTCCTGTAAGTAAAGAATTTGTATATTTATTGGGAATATATATATTAGAATTTTAGATATTATTAGAAAACTAAATTACTCTCAATGTAAAAAAAGTTGGGAAGTTCAATATATTTTGTGTTAAGAAAAATCTGCATTGCCCTTTTATGTGACGCGGCTTTGTGGTCGAATTACTTTCTTTCTTGTACTTTGGACAGAGTGCAGGTAGCTCATTGTGTAGCTTTGCACAAATAAAACAACGTTCCTTCTTTGATCTATGTATAAAATAAACATTATGTTCCTCTTTTCGAAAATTTAAGATTTATATAAAAGTGTAATATATATATATATGTTTGTCATCTTTTCAATCTATCTACCTAGTTAATTATTCGGGTTTTTATTTCAGTTAACAAAATGACTTCATTTCATTTCCACAGCAAGGAGAGGTTGCTATGGAGATCGCAAAGAGAAAGGAATTTACCGAAGTCGTCGAAATCCTTTCTAACCCGCCTCCTCGTGTTATTGAAATGAACGAGAAAAAGGAAGACAAAAAATCTACCAAAAAACGTGAAAAGGACAGTGGAACATCTCAGGGTAGCAAAGACAGTAGTTGCAAACTAAAGAAGGAAAAGAAAAAGGTAAATATTCGTAATTAAATGTCTTTAATAATGGTGCATAGGAAAGAAAAACTCAACTGTGTGGTTTGTCAATAAACCAATGTATTTCACCAAAACATTCGCCGTGCAAAATATTTTTTTTTTCCAAACACAAGTCGTTTTAGTACGAGTAATTTTTGTTGCAAATGTTGGATACAACATTTGGTTTTGTGTATCGTTTATCTCTTGATTGTGATTAAGCTGCAGTGATATGGGGCTCAGTCAAATGATTATGGGGGTGAGGCGAACATGGCCTAGTAGTTAGCGTGCTCGACTGTGAATTCGAGGGTTGGTGGTTTGCATCTTGTTGCAGCAAAAATACAATCCGTATTTTGAGGCCTTGGGTGCGTTATAAGACTGATGACCAAATCCCCCTTATTCCAGACAGACAAGAGTTGGCAATTGGTGCTGTTTACTGGCTACTTTCCTTTTATCAGAGTTGGCAGTTGGTGCTGTTTACTGGCTACTTAAATCCCCCTTATTCCAGACAGACAAGAGTTGGCAATTGGTGCTGTTTACTGGCTACTTTCCTTTTATCATTTCAAATTCAGGGATGGCTTTTGCAGATGCCCACGTTGGGTCAATGGTAAGTTTAAGGACTTACAACGTTAAAATCTTGGGTTCGATTCTCCACGGTGGACAGAACGCAGAGAGCTCAGTGTGTGTCTTTGCAATAAAACAACAAAAGCTTTTGCACACAAATCTCGCGCAGCTGTGCGTGCATTTTCGAAACAAAACAATCAACCATACATATTCGTATGACTGGGCATATCGTGTCCTGGATTATAATTAAATGTTTCGAAGGTTTATAGTTTAATATCCCTCATTGTTTTAATGTTGCCATAAGGTTTAAAACAGATGTATTTTTAAAACTTTTCTATGGAGATTATTTTACCTCAGTCATATTCCTAGTGGGTCAGCAATAAGCGTATGGATCTACAACGGTAAAATCCGGGGCTCAATTCCTCGTGGTGGATTGCCTGTTATGTAGCTTTGTATTAAAACAAAAGAACATCAATGATTAGTAATAAAAAAATAAAAATGGCTTGGGCAGAAATGTATGATAAAAATGGAAATGATAAAAAACCAGTAAGTTTCCTTTAAATGTTTCTTAAAGGATATAGCATGTAAATTGTAATCACAAATGTTTTGTTATTTATTTAATTTTTTCAGAGAGTTGATGTTTACACTTGAAGTACAAATTTTTTGTTACTGTTACAAAGTCCATGTGTAAATCATTTTACCGTTAATTATGAATTGTATTTTTTTATTTTTATGCCCTTGCTTTTGTAGAAATATAACGTCACGTGTAATAAAAAAACATCTATCCGTGTTTAATAGGCATGTCACATAATAAACTGTTGAAATTCATATTCACTTGCTCTAATTTTGAGCGTTGTGGAAGCTCAAATTTGATTTTAAGACTCAAAATATAATTTCATAATCGAATAATATCAGAACATTTTAGAACACTTTTTATTAAATAATATATATATGTAATTGTTTTACATAATTAATTCTCTAATATGCAGAGTAAACGTGGCCATAAGGTCCATTTTCCAGATGAAAAAGGACAGGGCCCGTCCGGTCACTGGAGCCCCTATGGATGTCACATGTTTCCAAATTTAGCTAATTTTCCTGACCCTAAGCTAGATTCGCTTCCACCTGAACCTCTAAAGAAGGGAGAGCAGTATTTCGTCGATTTGGCTGGACGCATTAATAAAGTAAGTTCGTCAGTTGTAACCAAGACTTTAAAATTTAATAACTTATTTTTTAAATTCATATTATAACATAATAAAAATAGTAACTTATAAGGAAAGTTCTTTTAAGTTTCGAAACCAAAATATTCATTGAAAAGTGACAAGGGAAACCAGCATAGAATTGTTACTTCATTTTTTAACTTTCGGTACTTTTTATTTTTTTATTTTGACGGTGAAACAATTTGAGGAATTTTATTTCTATAAGATGAAATTAAGTTTTGCTGGAATTATTTCTTCGTGGACTTATTTGATAAAAACAAAATTTATTATATGGTTATTCTACCATATGGCTACCATACAGTTGCATGAAATATTTACTTTTTCGCGAACTTACAATTAAATAAGTTTTAAAATTAGTTTTTATTTTCAACTCTTCTTTAAATAGTAAAAACCTAAGCTTGAATCTGGCAGCTACAAATAAAAAGGAATTTGTACACCGAGTAGTCGAATAGATACTTACTAGACTTTTAACATTTCGTGTATTTTAAATATTTTCTCAGTCACACCAGCTTAGTTTACGCTATCCATTCTGGTTAAATATTTTCTCAGTCACACCAGCTTAGTTTACGCTATCCATTCTGGTTAAATATTTTCTCAGTCACACCAGCTTGGTTTACGCTATCCGTTCTGGTTAAATATTTTCTCAGTCACACCAGCTTAGTTTACTCTATCCGTTCTGGTTAAATATTTTCTCAGTCACACCAGCTTAGTTTACGCTATCCGTTCTGGTTAAATATTTTCCTAGTCATACCGGTTTAATTTTCATTGGTGGCACGCAAATAATGTTTTACGTTTTATATATATCATGCTATTTGTAATATTTCTAAATACGATAATATGCACATTATCAAGGTTGATATGCAAACATAACGATCTTTTAAATCTGCTATTACCTAGTAATAGACAAATGTAAGATAGTTAGTATTCTTTGGGTTTCAAAACACATCAAAATTTATTTTGGTATTATAAAATATGTGAAATAAAATTTTCCCATCTTCGTTTATGTATCTGTATGTGTGTATATTTTTTGTTATACAGGATCTGTTATCTGAATACTAATAATATGTTTGGCAGGGTCCAGTAGGAGTTGGTTATACGTGTTACTGTGCTCCATTCTTTCGTTATGTGGAAAAGAAGATGGAGTCGGACAAGCAAGAACTTATTGATCACATCGACAACGCTCATGACGATCTACACGCCAAGATCGCTCATCTGGAGCGCCGTACGAGAAGCCAACTGTTCAATCTTAACCAGTCAGTCAAGGAAAAACTAGCTAACGAGAGGATCGAATGTGTGGAAAGGATGGAGAGAAGGACATCGAAAGAAAGGCAGGAGCTTGAAAAACAGCAAGGAGTCCAAATGCATAACATGAAAACAGAGCTTCAGAGTTGGATAGAGTCAAAAAGAAATGAATCTGAAAATAAAACAACTAATCTTCATAAAGACCAACCTTCAGCCAATAATAATCACATTCGACATCCTACGATGCATCATTGGTCACTTGCAGTTAGGAAAAAGAAAAATTCATCAAGTGTGACTGGATTGATGCGCTCAAAATCAGAAGAGTTACTGTCTGAGGCAGATGGAGACAGTGCTTTGGGTTCTGCTCCAAGGGTTTGCTCTCCAGAGCTACATGGTACAATCTCCCGCAGATTGTGCTCCCCACATTTCGAAAGGTCGAGGAACGGTCATGACTTTCAGAGCAATTTGTATACCAGGGTTCATTCTCCTGATACTCACATAATAACACCAGTGCCAAGATTCCATGCCCCAATTTCAACGTCTCATGGAAAACCTAATGACCTCGCTAACCACCTTCCTGTCAGAGTGGAGGCTAATAATCACCAAGCAACGGGTTTAGTTCAAAGACTTCGGACAGACTTTGAAAAATTAGGTGCTAGGCCAAAGTTTGATCAAAATTCCAGCCCTCAGCAGAGACAAAGTGATTCAGCTGTGTTACAAAACGAACTCAATGACTCTGTGAATCCCGATAACTTATTGGATATTAAAAGGGACAGTAGAAGTGACGGTGACTTGAGAACTTACAATGGCTCAATACATGGCCACTTACCATACCTTGAAACATCCTTTGACCACCCCAATGACCACTCACCCGCTAGTGACTCTGGATATCAAACCAAAATGTCTCCCAGCATCAGTGATTCTTCTGGTGCTCCATATCAAAGACCACCAGCGTTCACGCCCCCTCATGATTCGCATCACCCTAGCTCCCCTACACAAGTTGAATATAGCCAGCATCTTCCCCTTCGGCACAGTGATTTTGTTCGACCTCAGAGCACGAGTGGTTACAGTTCTAACAGGGTGTGGAGGTATGACTGTCAGTATACCCCGAATTCTTACGTTCATTACGCTAGTGATGTAAGACCTATTAATTGTACAGAAGATCAACTATATCAAATGAAGGAAGAACTTGAACTCGCAGGAGAAACTTTGAATGGCTCCAGCCTAGTCTGATGTCATTAAATGTTTTTCTGTAAAGTTTTTACTTTTCCTATAAAATTATCTTTGTCTTTTATTGTTTTGTTCTAAATTTATTTCTTATTTAGGAATTATAATTATTTTATATGATATGAAGATAGTTATTCCTAACTGACAACGATTGTCATATAAAATATAATACCCAAAAATTATATTAACGTCAAACCTAATCCAAACTGCCAAAATCACTAAGCTCAATGCAACATATTTGTATTTACAAGTATAAGCCTGGGTCTGGCGTTAGAACCGTGTGTTGTGAACTTCATACCAAAATATAAAACGTCTTCTTACAGTATTTTGCTGTCACATCCTTATTTTGATGTTTTGTGACTCTGTGATCATCTGTTGGAACTAGGGTAACCAGATGTCCCAGCAAAACCGGGACAGTCCCGGTATTCCGGGAAAAGTTCTAGGGATGCACAAAACGTCCCGGTTTTATGATAAAGACATCAAACTCTCAGTCACATCGAATAACGAATGTAACAGGTCTACTTGAATTGTTCGTTGTTGTAAACATGTACTTTCCTTCCATCAAAGTCTCTCGAAAGTTCCATCCGTACGTGGTGAGAAAGAACTGCAGGTCTGAACGTGGAGACAGTTAAGGCAGTGTTCATCATCAAAATACACTTTACACAATCATGTACTAAATTTTATAAATATTTGATTAATGAAAAAAAAACAACCGGAATTTCTACGTGCCATTCATTCTTCTTCACAAAGACATGTCTAAAAAATAAGTGATGGTAAAATCTAAAAGTAGTATGTTTGACAAATGTTATGGATTCTTAAATAAATCCAAATATGAAGTATATTTCGTTGGTGGAAAATTCGTTAATGGTGCTGACATACTATTTCGTTGGTTTTTGTCCAACTTTGGCATTATAATCCGTTCAGAAAAATCAAAGAAAATGTGAAACTTTTAGACAATATTATAGGTATTTTTATTACAGTGCTGACGATTTTCAATAACGTGTTTTTATTTCTTTATAAAAAATCAAGCAACAGAAAAAAAATCTGTCAATAAACTATAAATTTTGACCCCGTACATTGCTTTTCACAGTTTCGATTGAAACATAAAATTTGCCACTCAAAACGAGCAAAAAAGTGTTGATGTACCTTTTTACAAATACAGTTATTTCGTGCAGTTTAATCTTAACTGCTTCACTCACGTGTTTCTGTGACTAAAATAATTAGGGAATAGAACTTTATTAAGGAAATCTTATGAGACAGATCATTGCTAGCGATAAACTAACACGAACCACGATATTGGTTCATAATAGGACTTGCACAAAACCCTAACAGGGCAAGAAACACCTTAAACAGTAAAGATACAGTCCAAACAACACTTTAGGACCTTTACTGTTGACTACTAAGGCTATACACATGTAAAAATGCACAAATAAGCACCCATGTTAGACTTACAAGGAAAAGAAAATCCGCTTAAAACTGCCCGTTTGTAATTCTTCTTCTTCTTATTATTATTATCTTGCCAGCCTACAATAAAACCGGTTTAGTATATTGCACCCAAACTTTTTGTAGAATGTTAAGTAAGCTACTGAGAAGGTCGTGGGTTATTGAAAACTCAATTTGTTTCTTCTGTATCTTACATAAGCTAAAAAACATCATAATTCTAGTGTAAGCGATGTTATCATTACTCCTTGAAGTTAGTTTTCTTAAATATGTGGTGGTCCTTTAAAAAGCTTAAGTACAGGGAGAAAGATGAATTACCGGCCAATAATAGATGAGCATTAGATGACTGTAACATGTAGATACTCAATGCTTTGTTCACTATACAATCGGTGTCTTAAGGGAGCCAACCCCCATGTTATATATGAAGTGAAGGAGTAAAAAAAAATCAATACACATAATAATAAATTTTATTACACACATTCTAAAAAATTACTTTAAAATACACGAAGGTTTATTTAAAACGATGTTTTAGACTTATATGTTTTATTTGAAAAGGCTGCTTTACTACTGGTAAAATTTCATACGCGTTTAGTAGAGGTTGTTTCTTAGTCTAGGCATATATTTTTCCGTTGCTATGCATTTTATAGAGATAATTTAGTTAAATAGAAACTTTAAATGCTCACTATATTCTCAAACAAATCGACATGACAATCTCCAGCTGCAGCTTAACATTTTACATCTCGAACTAATGTGATCAAATAGTCAATAGCTACAGTTAATCATCGTGAACCGTATCGGCTAGGCACTAGCTATGTTTATTATCATTACAATGTATAAAGTTAGCTACAATATCAAGCAATAATTTGCCAACTGTTGAGCATAAAAAAGCCAACAAACAAGATAAATAAAAAAATGGAGAATTTAAAAACCTGTAAATAAGGATAGTAAACAAGTAAGGAAACAAGGCTGGAGATACTGTAGGCATTATTTACTCAAACTACAAATCCCTATTTAGATTCTAGGCAACACTAACACCAAAGTATTTTAACAGTAACATTACACTTACGACAGATCATGCAGTATTAAAGTGGCTGGTGAATTTTCGCAACCCAGAATGCCAGATATCAAGATGACTCCAAAAACTCCATGAGTTTTGTTTTAACATTATTCAACGTCTGGGTGGAGCCATGAAAATGCTGATACATTATTCGAAAAGCCATCTGTTGTTGAAGAAAATAAACACTGTGGATATAGTGTAGTACAAGATAGTAGAGACTATTAAGCTAAAGTGCATCAGAATATATTCCAAGATATGACATACCTAAGTGATGATGAAGAACTAGTGTGGTCCAACAATCAACTGAAATATGCTCGGGTAAAATGTACGAGTTTGAAAGCAATTACTTAGTAGATCAAGATAGTGCAAAAAGACTCTTATGTCAACAATCACTTTATACATTCCGAAGACAAAGATGTATTGAGCACAGTGGGATTCATTTTGTTTACACGAGGAATTGTTATGTTGGAAATGTGAAAATAATAAGGATAAAAACAACGACTGTGGTTGGTACTTCCAAGGTCTGTGTTCTGAAGCACTTTTTCATCTTCACAACGTTCCACAAACTGGACATTTAGATGTTAAGAAGACACTGGAGCGAGTAAGAAAAGGCTTTTATTGGGTTTGGTTCCAGGGATCTAGAGAATTGGTGCAAAACATATGAATTATGCTGTGAGCGAAAAGTCTACAAAAGAAACATGTGTAACTACAATAGTATTGCATTGGAGCACCACTTGTAATAGTTTCTGTCGATGTGATTGGTCCTCTGCCACAAAGTAACTGATGAACTATTGTGATTAACTCTTTCACCAAATGGCCAGAAGCATGTTTTTTTCCTAACCAAGAAGGTTAGCAAAGGAAACTTTAGCAAGGAATGTTATCAATGAATTAATTTCAAGACTTTGAATCAAACTTGTATGCAGAAAGGTGTCAGATTCTTGGAATTAAATAATACCAGAACAAAGACCCTTCATCCATCTTCTGACAGCTATGCAAAATTCAGGATGACTCTTTCCTGATATTTCGTTTGAACTACCTGTATTTCATAAACTAATAGCTGCTTCATTCCAGATTTAATGTTGCTTCTAACATATACATTTATGCAAATTAGTAACACCAAATTCAGAGTTATGCAGTTTTTGTGTTTTTTCACACGATTTTATATAGTTATATTACCGGATGATTTTGAACCTTTCTCAATATCCCCATTTTAACAGCTGTATTTCATAACCTAACAGTTGCATTATCCCAGATTCAATGTTCTTACAAAGACTGTTAACACTAAATATAGTTTGGCAAATTCTTCTAGCTTTCACACACTTTTAAAAAGTGTTGTATTACCCTAAGATTTTGAACTTTTCTTGAAATAAACAACTGTATTTCATAAATTACCAACTGGGTTATTCCAGATTTAAAGTTTTCACAAATAGATACACCTACATAAATTATAATTACCAAAATCAGAGTAATACAATCCTTAATTTTCACATAATGCTAAACTGAGTTACACTTAAACGGCTTTACAGAATTATAAGTTCATTTACTTGAATCAAATACCGATAAAAAAGGAATCATAAGTTACAAAACCTTTATGATAAATTTACACAACTGTTTATTACTTTGTAAAATATTGTTGTAACATTGTTCTTTCTTTGGCGGGATTATTTTAAATCATCTGGTGAAAATAATCTACGTCCAGTCCACATAACAATAACAAATTAGTTCTATTTCCTCATTTCCGTTTCTTTACACACTTGTATACTTTGTAACATGTTGTAGGCCTACGTTTAAAGTCTTGCTCTCTGTACTACACTACAGTAAAAATAAACTTACTTGTACAAAGTTAAGTCAATGTGCGCGATAGCTAACACAGATCCAAAAACTTAAACATACTGACTGATTCACCCTACCTGCTAGAAAACAATTCGCTATCTTTTTTTTATGTTTCTCTGTTTCACCGCAAGCTTGCTTAGCGAATTGAATGGCTCACCTATATATATATGACCTAATGCTTGTCCTAGATATTTCGCAAAGCCTCTAGTGTTTCGTAACGTCAGTTTAGGATATTCTAGGCCTAAACTTACGAAGTCACTTGATCATAACGTCATGTGCCCTCTAGTTTATATCTAAATAAAAACAAAAATATAGCTAATAACAATATGTAAGTAACCAAGAAGTAATAAAATACATCTTAATCTTTAAAAAGTATCATAGAAAATGACCATATAACATCATGAATTTACGCTATAAACATAAAATCCTTTTTTTTCTTTTTTCACTATTAAAGTTGTATTATGCAGTCAATGTGTTTTACCTAAACACACTAACATGCATTTTTATTACTCATGTGTATGTGTGTTTGTGCTTTCGCGCGCATATCTCGTAAACTAATAGAGCGATTTACATGAAAATTTTACACAATTAACTGCAAACTGTTATGCGTTGGGCTTTGTTGCCATCTGACAGTTTGTATTCTTGTCTATTGACCTTCCCGATCTGTTTAAGATGTTCTTGAACTCTAGACCAAGAAGAATTAAGTTTTTC